AAGTCTCCGTAAGGCGGTAATTGCTGCGGAAGCGAGCGAGCCTGAAGCGAGCGAGCGACGCAGCAAATCTAATTTGTGTAGATGGGGATTTTTATCTCAAAACATTCTAGCGCAGTGCATTGTGGTCATGCGCGATCAGAAATGCGCAGTAAGCTATTTTTCCGTGGTGTTTCCACGCCGTGGAACCCTGCAAAGACATACTAGACTTATGCGCGAATCAAATCGAAACCTTGACATCCCCCCCCCGGGCATACCCCCGGGAATTTGGATTTTGACGTTTTGGTCAGGTCAAATTCCCTACATATATTTGTAATTCCCGTTCAAATACACCACATATTGGGAAAAATTGGAGTTCAAATACCCCACCCCATGTATGAATTGGAAGCTACAGCATTTCGCAATTTTGGAATTTCAAAGTTTTTCTTTCCTTCAAAAACTCTCTTCAATCGTTCAAAGCCGTTTTCTTGTAGCCAACCAAGGACAAAGTTAATTCCTTTGCACTTGAAGACCTTGAACTCATCCATTAATTATTGATGCCATTTTGGATTCTGCACACGTGTTTAAAAGAAAAATTCAAATTCCCGACCCCCTTCAAATTCCCCACCTTCCACTAGAAAAAAAGGTCAAATTCCCGCCTTCTTAAAATACTAAACAAGCAAATTCCCCAGGTATGCCCGGGGGGGGGGATGTCAAGGTTTCGATTTGATTCGTGCATTACATTGATTCAGTTCACTGTTCAGCACAATTTCGGAGCAAGATAGTTCTGCTTTGCTTTATGAAAACATATGTTGATAAATATTTTAATAATGAGATACGTTTCTTTCTTTTATCCAATTTTATCCTTAATTCGAATTTGGACATTTTAATATTCACGTGGAAGCACAAGTATTGAAAGGCCTCCGGCAGTCCGGCCATAGAATATATAATAGACCAGAAGCCTCACTGTACACCTTTCCTTAACATTTTCGTGTCCGCGACTTTTGCCTTGCGGATCACGAATTTTGCACGCTAGATGACGTATGTGACACTTGCTGCGAACATCACGTCAGCGTTCGTCAGCAAAAAGCAAAACACTTGCTGGCTCGCGCCTGCGCATAAAAAATCTCGGACACAATTTTGGCTGAGTGAGGCTTCTGGTCTATTTTCTATTCTGTGGTCCGGCTTCCGATCTTTGTTCTTTCTGCGACGTTCTTACACGTGCGAGGTTTGCTAAATTTCTTCTCCGAAAATTCTTTGGTTTTGAAAGGTTTAAAGGTAATTTTTTATTCTGTTGTTTATTTATAGTTACCATCGTATTTATTTGATTGTTTCTTTGGTATTTACCGTCGATTAATTGCTGTTCTTTATATATTTCAGATATTTTCCATATCACGCGGTTTCTGTTGGATTTCCATATCACGCGGTGTTGTCTGGCCACTGTTTATAGCACAGAGCAAAACCACTCTAAAGGTACGGGTTTAGTTGGTTTAACTTATTTGAGATTTGTCTCTAGTTTACCCTCTTTAATTGCATTTTTAAATTGCTTCTGTTATTTATTTGTCAGGTTTTTATATCATTATATAAAGTCTCTTATATTTTGTTTCCTTGTTAGCACGCCTCGTGTTCGATTGCTTTATATAAAGTCTCTTATATTTTGTTTCTCTAGTTTACCCTCGTTTAATTGCATTTTTAAATTGCTTCTGTTATTTATTTGTCAGGTTTTTATATCATTATATACTGCGGATTCAGGTTGAGTGTTTAATGACGTCACGATCAGGTGAACGTTCCAACAGATAAACGCGGGTGTTGTCAAGTGGCAAATTATATGTTGCTAAGGGCGGGAAGGCATTTTGTTCTTGTGTTGTTTACACGTGTTCGCATTTGTCAGAGATGGATAACATAATCGAAATTCAGTTTGACTACCTTTATTATTCTAAGCGAAGGGTTACCCCGTTATTTATTAGTACGGATGAGTTATTGTCTTACAGTTACGATGGATTTTGCTCTCGAATGTTACAAGAAGTTCCTCATATTGCGAAGATGCTGCTGCCAGCCGAATCGTTGCGAATGATTTTGGCGGAAGATAATCGACCAGAAATTGACTTGTCTCACAAGTACTTTCAGTCCCAGATAGCACGACTGGTAAATAAAGGACTAAAAACAATCGTCATTCGTATTGCCGAAAATGAGTCACCGCTACCTGCACAGCCAACACAGTCATCGAACAGTACGTGTAAAAGCCAACATTTGACAGGACAATCTCGAAGCAGACGTTGTCTATATGTATCTCAAAACGTCGCACAAAACAACGTTGATAAACAAGGAAACCTAAAGATTTTGTGTGTGAATGACAACAGCTATAATCTTGGTTGTAGTACCACTATAAATTCAAGTCCTGAACCAGTTTTACCTTTAGAACGACACGTGAAAAGATACGAGGAAATTATTCAAAACATTGACAAAGAATTAACGGTGAAAAAAATTGAACTCAAAGACCTTGATAACAAGCTTGAAAGGGCAAACATGCAAAACACTGGGCATCTTTCAACATGTGGAAATTGCCAT